TCATTTGTATATATATAAATTGATTATTTTGAGCTAAAACGTTTTAATATATTTTTACTCCTTTTTTAAAAAAATAGTTTTAATTGTTCATAAATTTTTGTATATTTATAGTCAATTAAATTATGTAAAAATAATGCTCATCACAAACAAACACATATACATATAAAATTTAATTATTTCAAGTTAAAATGAGTCGAATATAAACAAAGAAATTATTGTCTGTGTTCGTCTCGTTTATATATCGAGTGCAAAAAAAAAAAAAAATCTTTTTCATCTTATTTTCTGAGTGAACGAATCAAACATTAGTTTCTTATAAGTCAAACACGAACGGTTTCCGAACAACGCGCCATTTTAAGAGCCCAATATTTGCCTCAAGAAATCATATTTAGATTGTTAGTACAAATAAGTGCATTATGGAAGCACAATAAAATTTTTAATATACTACAGTAACTATAATTATTACGTATTTTAAAATAAATGTAAATTAAAAATTAATTTAATACTATTTTGATCTCGTCCCCGAATTTTTTCCTGACGATACGCGCGCTCGGCGGGTTTAGGGTTTAGGGTTTAATTTATTGAAATTCAGGTATCCCAAGAGATTTATTCACCGGCGCGGCAAACTGTTGTTCCACTGATAATTCAACTAAGGAGTTTCACTCGAGATTCAGGGAGGGAGATTGAAATGGCCGCCGACGGTGGAGAGCTGAACTCCGACAGCAGCGTGATGTGCTTGTTGACGAACCCGGAAGGAGAACCTCTCGGTTCATCTCTCTATCTTCCACAGAGCGCTGGTCCAGTCCAGCTGCAGCAAATTGTCAACAAGCTCCACCAAAATGTAATCTCTGCCTTTCCCTTTGAATTTGAGATCTGGATCTGGCAAGCTTGCATTATTCATTGTGAGGAGATAAATTTTATGTTTTTATTTTTTTTCTGTGTAAATTAAGCTGGGATTGGTTTGAAGCGAATTTTTGTTTTATTATAGCTATTGGATGCAAATTTTTCTATTGGCAAAAGCTTGCTAATAGGATTCACATGGAAAGCATTATAAAAGTAGGGAGAAAAAGATGAAATCTCATGAATCTGGAGAGGGAAGTACTGAGATTTTATTATGATACCAAAATTATAAGAGTCAGGCATAAAAGACTTATTCTTTATAGAGCCAAGCCACTGTTCGTGCTATAGAAAAAGCTATACTAAAAAGAAAATCCATGACCTGGCTTCTTTCTATTAATTGCCTGAAGCTGATAATTGACTGAAACTATTATTAGTTGAACTCTCCATCGTGATTGGTAGTCCTGGATTTTTGATTAAAGTTGTCAATTTACTGGATGAAGTTGCCAACTTGTTTGAATGAATGCTGACATGTAGCTTTTGAGTTTATGCTTACTATACCTTTGAGTGAAGTATGCCCTTAACAAGTTTTTTGTGATCCCGGCAAACTGTGTCATTCTTATTTTGTTGAGTTGCCTTGAACCATATTTACTTTGTCTTAACTAAGGTCTTGAGATATTCAGATATACTTTTAATTTCATGCTCGTTTGTATCTTTAAAATATAACTGAAAAAATGCAAAAGAATAAATAAATTATCACTTTTTTCCCGAGTCAATTATTTGACTTGGATTAATCATTATAATTTGATGCTTTATTAATTTACATTATATTAAAAGAAATTCTGTGAATAACATTCATGCACCTTCTCAAAAAAATTTTAACTCCTCAAAAAGATTTTAACTTGATATTTTATCTTTTTCTCAAGAACAATAGATATCTTTAAGCAATTTTACAGTTAGGAGGTCACCCAATGTGATGAAGAGGAATAATGATTGAGAGGGAAGAAGCAACTTGAATAAATTTTCATCTTTTCCTCCTCTAAAAACGGTAAAAGAAAAAAGTTGAAGTTGCTATCGAAGTACCCATTGAATGTGAACTTCTTAATAAATTCCAAATTGTTTAATAAAATTGTATTAGTTTTTCTTTGCATAATTCACATCTTGGATGGAAGTAACAAAGAAACTTTGTGATGACACCATGACTATTTTTGGCAAGATGCTGCTTAGCAAGACTGATTAAGTGGTTGATTCTCCAATTCATGCTGTAGCTACGGATAAACATGTTAAATTTGCTGAGTGTGATATTATTCTTGAAGATCAAGTAGTGGTAAGGATTCCCCTGATGCACCAACTTGAAAATCTTCAATTGTTGAAGATGAGGTTATATTAATGATTTTGAAGCATGAAGAAGACAATACTTGCTCTAAAATCTGATTTGCTACTTGAGAAGTCAAATACAACTGAAAGATTTACTAAGCTTTAGTTTTCTGGACAATCCAAAAGAAAAAAAGATTGCTTTGATAATTTGTTAGAGAGATTTGCTGTACTCACCAGTCGCCTTGATGATATCTCAGCTGAAATTGCAACTAATATTATGTTGGAATTAGATACTTGAATAGTGTGATCATCATTTGTGAAAAGGAGCGTGTCTTCTTCATAAATTAGTTAATTTGTTAGAGATGATGAATTCATTATTCTCCACTTTATTCATCAAGCCTTGCTACCTAAAAGAGGCTATTTTTGATTTAGTGGTGTAAGTTTTATTATTGAAAATTTTTGAAGGTAAACTGGGTGTGCATTTCATTGGTGACAAAATACAACATTAAAACACTATGTAAAGAGTATGATATTGGTGGATACTATATTCAAATTTTTATAATAGTTGAAGTTTCGTCTTGGGTTGTAGCTTCATTTTCTCCCTAAAGTGTTAGCAGTCTTGTAGTATTATATGGCGTGGTGCCTGCTCTGCTCAGGTTTCCCTGAACTTGTTTGCTAGTATGCTTACATTTGTCATTTATCTTTTATAAGGACATGTTGATTGAGTTTGAGCTTTTTAATAGATGTTTGCAATTAGGTTGTTAAAACATAGTTTTTTTTTTCGTGGAAGTATATACAAAATCAAAGAATTAGAAAATGAAATAAGAGATTGGAAAATATAAGTTGTTTTTCATGTAGTTGGCTAAAGAATGGCCTATTAGCGTTTGCCCATGTGATGTCTCTTCCATCAATTTGATGGCTCTACATCCTCCCGAGGTATCTAACTTCATTATGAAGCCTTAGGTGATGGATTTAGATTGTGTAAAGTATATACTTTGAAGTCATCAATTGACACAACTATAGTTGGAGACTTGAATGATAATATTTGTGTAAAGCATGTTTTTGATTTTTTTTGATTGCACAGTTAATTGCTTTGAATTTATTGAAAACCTTTTTTTATTTTTATACATGTTTTATTTTAGTTTAGTTTTTAGAAATTCTGGTGAGATCCTTACTTTATGTGAGTAAATCCAATTTCTTTTGAGCTACTTCTTTTGCTTTGATTTTGGCTATACTATTTAGCTAGATCGCTATCTTGAGCAGAAGACTAACAAGTTGAGTAGTGTTGAGAACGCTAAGTATAACATAATTTTTTGCATCCTCTGTGAAAATTAAAGTTGAGCTATAGGAATGATGAAGAGAAGTTGGCCTTTCGCTTAGATAAAAAAGTTCAAGTTATTGTTGTCAACTGTGTTGATCCACTTCTCCCCTTGAATTAATTGACTTAGGTGACTTTTCATCTCAGCCTTGTAGTATTCTTGGAATATCTATAATTATTTAGAAAAATTATCTGTTGATGGTTTGCAAATATTAGTTAAGCTGCAATTCATGTCTAGCTAGCATAGAATTTTTTTTTGGCAAATTCTTGCTAGAAGATGATATCCAAGAATAGAGATCTTAGGGGTGAATCAGATCATCTTTCAAAAGAGAATGAGGAAGTATCAGTTAAATCATAGTTATCCATTTGAGTTGAACCAAAATCAAAGATCAATTATGAAGTTCTTGAAGAAAGCTGACTCTAGATTGTGTAATTTTACAGAAGAAATTTAAAAAAAGTGGATTTGAATACCTTTGTCGTATAGGGTTTAGCCAAATTACAAAGTAAGATAAACACTTTGAAATCATCTTTAGAAATCAGAATCATCAAGAAAAAGTTCTCTCATTCATTTATTTTGCTATAGCTTGGAATACAATGCTAGAAAAAAAGTTGAAGAAGACCATAAAGCAAGTTGGAACATTTTCCAAAGTTGGTGAGTTCATTAGCCTTGAAATGCTTAATGAAGAAATCATTAATAGATGAAAAGATGAAATTGCATTTTTGTTTGGATGTGCTAGTAGATTAAAGTTTAATTAATCACGTTTGGTGGAATATTAGAAGACCAGCAAGCTGTGTGGTGTTGTTAAAGTTAAGAATTAAACAATTTATCTGCATCCTTTGCAAAGATTTAAGTTAAGCTATATCAATGATTAGAAGACTAGCAAGCCATGCGGTGTTGTGAAAGTTAAGAATTAAATAATTTATTTGCTTCCTTTGCAAAAATTTAAGTTGATCTATATCAATGATGAAGAGAAGTTGGCCTTATCTTTGACAATAGGGTAAATTTGTTGTTGACACTTGTGTTGATCCACTCCGTCCCTTAAATAAATTGTCTTCGATGACTTTTCACCTTGACTTTCTTGTATTGCTGGAATATGTACGTGGTCATCTAGAAAGAGTATGTGTTGATGGTTTGCAAATGTTAGTTTTGCTACAATTTGTATCTTGTTGGTATAACACTTTATTTCCCACAAATTCTCACAAGAAGGTGATCCCTAAGAATAGAGATCTTAGGGGTGAATCAGGCGATCTTTCAAAAGAGATTTATGAACTATGAATTAAATCACAACTATCATTTTAGCTGAACAAAAGACAAAGAACTATTGTGTGGAGTTCATGAAGAAAACTAACACCAACTTTTATTATTTTAAAGAAGAAATTAGAATAAGGTCGTTTTAAATGCTTTTGTTGATTAGAGTTTAACCAAATAACAAAATAAGATAAATACTTTGTAATCATCTTTAGTTGAATTAGAATCATCAAGAAAAAGCTCCCTCATTCATTTATTTGCTTCAAGCTCGGACTGCAGAACTATAATAAAAGTTGAATAAGACCATGATAAAGCAGGTTGGAGCATCTTTCAAAGCTGTTGAGTTCATTAGTCTTGACGAGTTTAATGAAAAAATCATAAATAAGTAGCATGATAAAATTGCTTTTTGTTTGGATTTGCTAGTAGATTAGAGTGTAATTAATCATGACTGGTGGAATTTTAGAAGTCTAACAAACTGAGTAGTGCTGAGAAAGTTGAGTAAATAATTTATTTGCATCATTTGTGAAAATTTAAGTTGAGCTATAGGAATGACGAAGAGAAGTTGGCCTTTTGCTTACACAAAAAAGGTCTAGTTATTGTTAACACCTTTGTTGATGCACTTCTCTTCTTGAATAAACTGAGTTCTGTGACTTTTTTACCTTGGCCTTGTAGTGTTATTGGAATATCTACATGTTTATCGAGAAAAGTATCTATTGATGGTTTGCAATTGTTAGCTATGTTCCAATTTGTATCTTGTTGGCATAACACTATTTCTGGCAAATTCTCACAAGAAGGTGATCCCCAAGAATTGAGATCTCATCTTTTAAAAGAGAATTAGGAACTATCAGTTAAATCACAGTTATCCATTTTAATTGAACAAAAAATAAAGAACTATTGCGTGGAGTTTATGAAGAAAGCTAACACAGGCTTGTGTAGCTTTAAAGAAGAATTAAGTAAAAAGTGGATCTGAATGCTTTTGTCGAATAGGGTATAACCAAATTACAAAATTAGATAAATACTTTGAAATCATCTTTAGTCGAATCAGAATCATCAAGAAAATGTTCACTAATTCATTTATTTGCTTCAAGCTTGGAATACAAAGCTAAAATAAAAGTTGAAG